AACCTGAACCCAGGGACTGCAATATGGGATGTGTGTATCTTAACCAGCAGTAGAGAAAAACACTAATTGTGCCTCTTTTGATGCAAAGAATAACATCTCAGTCCATGTTAATTCATTTTTTGTGTGCGGCTTGCAAAAGCCACAGGCTTATATGTCAATGGCTTCTCTGACTCCCTTCACAGTCTAATAATAGTTGTTCCAAAAGTGCCAGAGAGAGACTGTTCTCAGCGGTTTCTGAATCCTGCTTCCTTATAGAGAAGGGTAAAAGGAGGGGAACGTGAACTTGTGGCTACATCTGGCATTTTACAGAGAACCCAAAATAAAACCCATCTTGCCACCTCCTTCTAAAACAGCATACATCCTCCCCAATAATCCAGGGACAGGAAAAATTCATAAGCATTGTACTGTGAAAACTTTGTTACTAATCTCATTAATGAATAACCATGACCTTATTAAGACAAAGAGAGTCTGCCCCTTTTTTGCCCTGACCTACATTACATCAAATGAAGATTCCTACATTTTCTAATAATGTGTGACATCCCCACCAAATGTCATTTCTCTAATCAATAGGAAACTCCGCTGACCAAGAGAGATAACAGGGAGAATTATAGAACACTTTGCCACAAATATTGATAAGGACTGAGTCATGTCTAAGAGGTAACAGACAGATAGTAGCAAAAGAGATTTCATTAAGACTGTGTCATTGACAAAGGGCATCTACAACATAAGTTTTATATCCAAGTATTTTGATATGTTGAGAGTGCTTGGCTGTTTAATCACAACTTGTGATTAGTCAGTTCAAGAAGCTGTAATGAAATACCATTGTCTGAGTGGCTTAAAAAGCCAGCATTTATTTCTTGCAGTTCTGCAGGCTGGGAAATCCAAGACCAAAGTGCTGGCCAATTTGGTGAGAGCTTTCCTCTTGGGTTGCAGATCACTACATTCTTGTTTCCTTGGATGGGAGACAGCCAGGGGGAGACTCTCTCCCATGTCTTCTTTATAAGTGCACTGATCCCATCTCAAGAGGGCTCAACCCTCATGACCTAATCACCACCCAGAGGCCCAATCTCCAAACAGCAACACATTGGAGATTTGAGCCTTGACGTGTGAGTTTTGGAGCAACACAAACACTCAGTTCAAAGTGCCACTGTTCAGACAAATAAAGAGGAAAAACACTACTACTGGAATGATTCCCTTGAAGTTGAGGAGGAGTCATCGCTTACCTGAATACATTCATTTAGCTTTAGTGTGTTGAAATATTGGCCTTGTTTCTTTAAGGGTATTTGAAATTGTCACAATGCCAACCAAAAGGCCAAACTTTTGATGGGGTGATAAGGTGAGAGGTACTAGTGAGATGTGGCCAAAAGCAAGCTCAGGAGATGTTGTGGCCAAAAGGCCCCAGAGAATTTATAGCTGTCAACAACTTGAGATGTTTCAAAGGCCACTCCTCCAAAGACTTTAAATTCTAGACTTTTACAAGTCACAACCTTCTCAAAAGTGATCATTTTGAAGAGAATCCCATAGCAGACACTTCCTTTGCACTGCCCAGCTATTCTTGAACAGTACAGAGGTGTTAAGAGGCAGAAAATGAACTGTCTTTGGCTTTGGTACCTGAAAGGACCAAGTGTTTTTACCAAACCATTGAAAACAAGCATGTGAGCTCCGTTGAACTCAAGAAAGTGAGGCTGAGATCCTGACCTTTTTCCTTTCAGTTTCACTTTTAGTGACTTTTGTGGCATAGTCAAAGAGGACCCAGGATAAAGAATATTTGAGTCTGTAAAAATCAATATCCCATCTAAATATATTCGTATGTTAAGTATACCCACACATTTCTGTATGTGTGCATCTATATTGGTGTGTGCACATGTGTATATCCCAGATAAACATTTAGTTTTGCTTGTTCTTAACATTTTTCCTTTTGAAATTTAATCATTATCCTTTTTACACATAATGTGTATAAACTTTTTGACCATACAGAGAAACTTTTTAAATTCTTTGATACTGCCACTTTATTTTTTTTCCTGATATATAAACATTAAATAAGTATCCCGTTTATTTCCCTTTGGTAAATGACCTTAGTATTAACCCATTATGAGAAGTTTTATGCTTTCTAACACACCATATGAAAATTGCTTATTTTTGTCATGTCTGGCAATGATACCTGCTACAAACTTACAATAAAGTAAAAATAAATATTTGTAGAGACAACAGAGAACATATCAATTTTATAGCTCCTCATTGCATCAGTGTGGAGCATGGGCTTTGAATTTCATGGTAAGGGAAAATCAATTTCTTGGAGGGAAACCTTGGCAGTTTGTTGGCAAGTACTTGGCTACTCATTATTCCTTCTCCTTTCATATTAGAAAAGGAGAAATTACAGTTGAATGTAATGTATGTAAGACTATTTAAATTTTATTTAAGTTATACAAGTTTTATGCATTATGTATACAGATTTAGGGATGTAGTAATACTTATCCTAACTTCCCTCCTGCCAATGCTTCAATCCTTCTTCCTCCTCCCTCTTCTATTGCCACTCTTAATTTTTACAAAGATCTACTTTCAGTTTATTTAATATTCATAAGGTTAACCCTACACTAAGTAAAGACTTCAAAAAATAGTATAATGGAAAAAGAAATGTTGTTCCTCAACAGTAGAGACAAGGGCTGCAAACATTCACAGAATCTCAAGATGTCAATTTCACTCCAACATTTTAGGTACTCTATTAGTTACCCCAGATCAGAAAAAATGCATGCCAGCGCCGCGGCTCACTAGGCTAATCCTCCGCCTTGCGGCACCGGCACACCAGGTTCTAGTCCAGGTCGGGGCGCCGGATTCTGTCCCAGTTGCCCCTCTTCCAGGCCAGCTCTCTGCTGTGACCAGGGAGTGCAGTGGAGGATGCCCCCAAGTGCTTGGGTCCTGCACCCCATGGGAGACCAGGAGAAGTACCTGGCTCCTGCCATCGGATCAGTGCTGCGGCCATTGGAGGGCGAACCAACGGCAAAGGAAGACCTTTCTCTCTGTCTCTCTCTCTCACTGTCCACTCTGCCTGTCAGAAAAAAAAAATGCATGATATCTGCCTTTTTGGGACTGGCTTATTTCACTAAGCATAATGGTTTCCAATTGCATTTATTTTGTTACAAAAGGCAGGATTTCATTTTATTTTTAGAGTTGTGTAGGTTCATATTAACTAAAATGTATATAAATCCATATGTTTAAATCTTCCTAATGCTTCAAAATATTTTTTAGGTTAGCATCTTACTTTTACTCTGCAGCATAGCTGATAAAGAGCTTGTGATAATGGTTAGTTTTTCCATGTCCTGTGTCTTCTTGTATTTACATTGTTAATACTAAATCTGAACGGAAATTTCTTAATAAGCCCGTTTTAAGCCACTTACTCATTTTATTAGCATGAGATTACTCAAAATTTGATGATACAATATATAAATCCACTTGAGTGCAAACAAACCATAAATCATCATGAAACACTAAAACAGAGAAAAATGAGTGAAGTTCCACTCCCAAATCAACATTTTGGGCATCCTGTGTTTTTCTGGACATTGAATAGCATTTGACCATCTGATACATGATCTGATAGGGACCTCCCATATCCATCTATAGTTAAAATATTTGTAAAATAATTGACTTATGTTTACAAATAAATACAAGTAGAAGTTCTAATTATTTATAAGATTTATTTATTTATTTGAAAGGCAGAGTTATAAAGAGGAAGAAGCAGCGAGAGAGAGAGAGAGAGATAGAGGTCTTCCATCCACAGGTTCACTCCCCAAATGGCCTGAACAGCAGGAGCTGCGACAATCCAAAGCCAGGAGCTGGGAGCTTCTTCCAGGTCTCCGACACAGGTGCAAGAGCCCAAGGACTTGGGCCATCCTCTACTGCTTTCCCAGGCCATAGCAGAGAGCTGGATTGAAAGTGGAGCAGCCGGGACTCGAACCGGCACCCATATGAGATGCTGGTGCTGCAGGCAGCAGCCTCACCAGCTACGCCACAGGGCTGGCCCCTCTAGTATGTTCTTTATTCAACTAATTGAGATATCTGATAGCATTTCTTGAGTGCACACTCCCAATATTTAAGGACTCAGCTTTAGGAAGCAGCAAATAGATACTTCCTTCAAATGATAAAAGTAGTTACGATGGATTAATCCCAAAAGTTTTGGGTAGAAAGACTAAAAACCTGTTGATTTTCTCTGTATGTAAAATTTAGTTTTCCAGTTTAGTAGTATTTTTATTGTGTATAACAATCCTTCAGTGTCTATATTTTATCAAATTTTAGTATGGTCCTGAATATGAGTGTACGGGAATTACATTTTTGTGAAAAACTTGGGGACGAAGTTGATAAGAAGCTTCATAAAGGATGGAGCAGGCACAGGTTTTGGCCAGGAAGGGTATTTTCTGTCCAAGTATGGAATCAAGCTCCTTCAGCTTTTAACTGCCATTCAATGACAAATTTAAAATAATAATAATAACAAAAGATGAAGGGTGGTCATTTGATTTAGTGGTGCAAGTGTTGGTCAAGACGACTACATTTCACATATCTGGTGCATTATTTAGCTTTTCAATATTTAGGTAAAGCACCCAATGAGAGCCTCATTGGAAAGAAGAGGTTTACTTCAGCTTAAAGTCTAGGGGTTACAGTTCAGGATATGGCCTCATATTCTAATGTCTTTGGAGGCTGGTCAATGTATGAGCAGAAGAATCATCACATGATGAGCCAGGAAGCAGTGAGAACAGCCAGACAGTAGTTGAACTCTAATAATCAACAGTAGTCCAAGAGCCACTCCTCCAAAGGCAATATCCCCAAAGACATAAACACCTCCCAGCACACCCACCTCTCAGAGGCCAAAGTTAGATCAGTTCTCCATACTTAATCCATCACCTGATAACATTAAGATGTCAGAATTCAAACATCTGCATGAGTTTGGGGGGGACAAGTCCTACTCAACCTGTAACACGTTGGTTCAATTCCAATTCTCCTGACTCCAGCTTCCTGCTCATGCACACATGGGAGGCAGCAATGAGGACTCAAATTGTGATCCTGCCACCCACATGGGATGCTTGGATTGAGTTCCTGCGGCTTAGCTTCTGCCACACCCCTGCCCAGGTCTTTGCAGACAGTTACGGCATGAACCAACAGGTATGAACATTCTCTGTGTATGTTTGCTTTTTTAGCAAAGCAAAACCAAACCAAACAAAATTTCAAAACAAAAACAAAAACCATGGGTGAACTCCTATATTTCAATGTCCATCCAGTTTTATGTTAAAAAATAAAAAGTAATGATCAGTCATATTATCCATGTACACTATGAATTCCCACAATTTGCTGACTTATTTTATAGTACTTTAAGTAAAATGCTGTCTACCATTAAATCTGTAACAGTGACTAAGCCTGGAGGCTCTTAAGTTAAAATTTCTGTGTTTGCATTTTTATTTAATATATTTAAAAAATAATTTTGAGGGTGTACGGTTTTGTGGCATAGTGGGTAAAGTCACTACCTACTATGCCAGCATCCCATATAGGCACTCGCTCAAGACCCAGCTGTTCCACCTTGGACCCCACTCCTTGTTAATGGCCTGCGAAAAGCCACAAAAGATAGCCTAAGGATTTGGTCCTGTCACCCACATGGCAAACCCAGATGAAGCTCCTGGCTTTGGCTTGGCTCAGCCCTGGTGATTGCAGTCATCTGGGGAGTGAAGCAATGAATGGAGATCTCTGTCTCTCTGTCTCCCCCCTCCCTCCATAACTCTGCCTTTCAAATAATTTTGAAAAAACTTAATTTTTGAGCTCATCAATTTATTGTGAAGGTTAAATAAAATATTACACAAAGCTCAGCACAATACCTGGCATACCATGTATGTTTATGTTAATTTTATATTACTAGAATTTGTGACTAGTACTACTAAATAATGTAGAAGAATTTATTGAATTCAAATTTTTTTTAATTTCTTGATTTTTCTTAGGTCATCATACAGAAATCTTTTGAACTAAATGGTATCCATTGTCCCTCTTGCACTATATAAATCATTAGCATGGACTTCAGAGGGTGGACCTCACTTAAGCTCTTAGGAGAGTCTACTAAGATTCTGAAGTGTTTTCTGTCTTAAGCAGCATGATTAAGTATTTTTACATATTTATTTCAATTTGTGTTATAATATTCTACTTTTTCATTAATCCACTGATAATATTAAAAGAAAACATAATAATTTAAAAGAAAAAACTAGAACAAAAAATGTCCTATTTGTATCACAGCCTGGCCTATGACTCATGGTCAGTTTTGAAGCCAAGAGAGAAAAGAAAAATAAGCAAAGGGCTGAATTCATATTTGGACTGTTGCATTCTGGGTGTGTCAAGGGGTTCTACAATGTTTTAGGTTAGATTATTTACTCTATTCTTATTTCCCCATGTGTTTCTGAGGAAGAATTTCTGGATGGAAAGGGCTTGGTGCAAGTTAGCTGCAAGTTTGTTTATAATAATAAATTCAAATGAACAAACACTAATTGAACACCTAACAGATGAGTATGTGTTAAGTTGTGGGATATAAAATAAGACACAAAACAAATATTGGGTCTGCCTTTTAAAGGCTCAAACCCAATTAGGAAAAGAAAGACTGGAGGGAGAGTGAGACAGAGAGGTGAGAAGAGGAATGAAGGAAAGGACTCATAGGATTCCCATGGAAATAAACAACACAAGAGAAGAACAAATAAATTTTAGCAAAAGATAAGGAGATATAAATTACATGGTCTAAATATTTCAAAGATGATAGGAATCTTGTCTTGAAACTATCTATAAAATAATTGCATGCTCATTTTAAAATAGCAAAGGATGATTTAAGTTTTCCTACTTTATTTCTTTTATTTCTAGGTTAGAGTTTTTTTTTTTAATTTTTATTATTTGACAGGTAGAGTGAGAGAGAGAGAGAGAGAGAGAGAGAAAAGTCTTCCTTCCACTGGTTCACTCCCCATGGGCGGCTCTGCGCCAATCCAAAGCCATTAGCCAGGTGCCTCTTCCTGGTCTCCCATGCAGGTGTAGGGGCCCAAGCACTTGGGCCATCCTCCACTGCCTTACTGGGTCACAGCAGAGAGCTGGACTGGAAGAGGAGCAACCGGGACTAGAACCCAGAGCCCACATGGGATGCCGACGCCACAGGCGGAGGATTAACCAAGTGAGCCACCTACCTAGTTTTATACATTATATTTATTAAGTTCTACATCTCTTTTAAGCATTCAACTTAAAGTAGAGAGGGGATCAGGTTTGTACTGAAGGTGCAGGAAGCGAGAGTTACTTTGGGAAAAGATGGTTGCCTAGGTAGAGTGGGCAAGAGGTCACTAAGATACACATTTTATTATCGTTTTACTGATGAGGATGTTGAGTTATACCAAGGAAGTGCACTGCTCAAGTTCATTTGCTAGGAATTCATACCTGGGATTTGAACTAAAACTATCTGATTCCCCAGCCAGTGCTTCTATCTACCATCTCCTTGCAACAATTAAATAAAAAAAAAAAAAAACTTTTGTAATCTATGTAAGCTGTGTTCTTATAGAGGCTCTTTTATTGTGCATCAATTATTAGGGATGGGAAAAAAAAAGTAAGAAAACTAAGCTAGGATTCCACCTGTTAGTGGATAGGCACACAATTCCTAACTTAATGGAAAACCAAAGCTCAACATGTTCAGCCTCCTCAATCGATTGATGGTCTGGAGAGGTGATGTCAGTTGTTCTAGTTCTTGGATGGATTGTCACAAACCAGATCTTAGCATCTGGATCTCTTCTGATTTCGAATATATCAATTTGTCAGTCCAGATTCTTCTCCCATTTTTTTCTCTGGTAGTTGTAACAGCAGATATTTAACCACTGATATTTTGATCTTTCTTCAGCATTTCCTTGGCTGAACAGATCTGCACAATCCGGGCGCAGATAAGGCTCTACACCACAGAATTATCTTCATCCTGCATCTGTGCTTGCGCTGGAGCAATGTGTAATGGAGATATTATAGCACAGTTTTCCAAGACACCCCTTTTGTACTATACACCACTTCATGGATGTGGTTGTTTTAGGTAAAGATAGGAAAGCAAAGCATTTGATACCACAACACCAAGATTTGAGTCCTGGGTCTATCCCTCACTGACTTTGACAACACATTTGTGTCCGTTTTCTCATATGTTAAATGCGCTGGGATACTAATACATAACAGAATTTATATATGCATCAAAGGAGGTAATATGCAGAAACATTTGCTGTGTGTATCAGGAGTCCATTTGCTTTCGCTGTGGAGTGATGATTTATTATATTTTCCTACTGACCTGTTGATCAAATACTTAAGCTGTTTCCAGTTTAGGGCTACAATCAATAGAATTGCTATGAGCATTTTAGTACAACTCATTATGAAAATATATTTTCATTTATTCTTGGATAACTGCTTTGAAGTAGCCTTTCTGAGAGAGAGAGTGCAGGCATATCATTACCACATCTAAAACATCCAGACCTTTCCTCAAAAAGTTTTGCTATTTCATACTATTACTAACAAATATGAAAGTTCAGTATTATATGTGCTTTCTTTTTCATTGAATTGTACTACTTTTTTTTTTTGACAGGCAGAGTTAGACAGTGAGAGAGAGAGAGAAAGGTCTTCCTTTCTTCCGTTGGTTCACCCCCCAATGGCCGCTACGGCCCTCGCGCTGCGCTGATCTGAAGCCAGGAGCCAGGTGCTTCCTCCTGGTCTCCCATGTGGGTGCAGGGCCCAAGCACTTGGGCCATCCTCCACTGCACTCCCTGGCCACAGCAGAGAGCTGGACTGGAAGAGGAGCAACCGGGACAGAATCTGGTGCCCCGACCGGGACTAGAACCCGGGGTGTAATCTTTGGTCTTTCATTTTAGAGTTTTCTTCCAAGCTAATATTTACATTTTTTCCATATCTGGTCTTCAGACTGAATGATTTAGGTTGATCTATGTTCAAATGTGTAAACACTTGTGTCTATTGTCTCAAATAGATATTTTCTTTATTTTATATGTTATAATTTCTTGTTCTAGAACTTTCCTTTGGGTCTTTTTACAGTTTCAGTTTCTCTGCTGAGATTGCTAATTATTTTTCCTTACAAGAGAATGATTCTATAAGCAGGACAAAGTAAATAGGAAGGCAGCAAGCAGGCGAGCGGTGCTAACACTTTGGATTTTGTGAAGCTCCTGTCAAGCTCAGAAGCATCTGTCCCAGGGCCAGTAAGGACTGGGGCAACTGTGCCATTGCATTGAAACCTCCCTGGTTTGTTGATTTCCCCCTGTACAATCCTGGACAAGTGGATTTACTTCTCTGACTATCATTTTTCTTTTTACTCTTCTGAAAAAAAAAATCCTTAACATTCGTGAACTTTCAGCATAAATATCACCTTCTCAAAGAGATATACCACCACTATCATGTGATTGGAATTTCATTTCTATATTACTTTCTCAGGATATCCTTTTCTGTCATGGTCCCAATCACAATTTATAGTTTTACAATTTTCGTTTATTGATGCATTCGTGTTTTCAATGTCTTACTCCTCTAATGGAGGCTGTATATGTGAGGCCACATTTAATGAACTCTTCAATTTTTGTATAATGGCTACCCCAGTGACATCACAATATAGTAATCATTATTATTTATTGTGTGTTTATCATGTGCCATACATTTCTATAACTATTTATTTGCAATTCACATGGCAAACACATAAATTAAAACTTGAAAGCTAATGTTTGGAGTTTTGTGCTAAGTAATTCCTATGAATTCATTTAATCTAATTGTTTCAGCAATGCCATGACCTAGAAGCTGTTGTAACTCTATGTAATAATAAAGGGATAAATAACTGGACCACAGTCACACAGTTAATTTATGTAAAGATTAGAACTAAAATGTGTTACCTTCATTGCTAATCTTCCCTGCAGGATTTTGAGAGAATGAAGTAAAGAATTGTGAAGATTTTTGTAAATTGCGTAACAACCTTTCATAGAAAATTCTAATAGAATATTAGCATAGATTTTTTTGTGGAAGGGAGAAAATATCACCATTATTCAAGATACCTCTCAATATCCCAATCTTTTTAAAGAGACGTTGCAACTCACTACGGGTTGAAATCTATTTAACCACCTCTGTAATCTGACCTGTCT